TGACTCTCCCCACCAGTAGCTCCTCCAAAAGTGTGACAAAAGATCTCTGAATAACATATTAACACCTCCCTCCTAACTACAGATCAAGCATCCTCTGAAGTATTCTGTCTTAGGTTCACTGATACCTGATGTTCCTTTCACCCCTCCTAAATTAATTACAAGACTCTAGGAACCCCTGGAAGTGGCAAGACATTTTCTTAAGACTAAGATACCTGTATATCCTATTTGGAGGCTTAGAGTGCAATACAAAGATCTTGGAATACCTTGACAATTGACTCCTTCTTGCAAACCACAGATTACAAAAAAAAAAAGTAAACTCAGAGCCTAACACAGTGCCTCCCACTTCAACCTAGTGGTTGATACTGGTCTTGATCTCACTAGAGTGAATGAACCCCTGGGTGTCTAAGCAAGGGGCCCAAAACCACTAAGCTCTGTGGACAGAAGGTGAAGACATCAGGACAAAGATAACCCAACAGGCTCAAACTCCTGTAAGATGATACAGGACCAGAACACATATCCCCAAGCTCTTCCAAGGATCATTCCTTTGGAACCCCAGAACTCAGCTCATAATCGAGTTCCAGTCCTCAACAAAGCATCCAGATGAGGAAGAACCAGTGAAAGGTAATGGGAATCATTAAAGATCAGAGAGAAAAGTCACCTCCAAAAGAAAATAATCTCCACCAACTGATGCCAACTTACATGATATGATTAAACTGACAGAGGAAGAATTCTGAATATGGATTGTTAGAAAACATAATGGAATTAAAGAGAAAATAGAATCCCAACACAGAGAAACCACAAGAACAATCCAAGAAATGAATGAAAAATTCTCCAAAGAAATTGAAGTAATTCAGAAAAAACAATCAGAAATTCTGGCAATGAAGGAAACATTCAAGGAACTCCATAATACAGTGGAAAGCCTCAAAAACAGGATAGATCATGCAGAGGAAAGAATCTCAGAGCTTGAAGATTATGCCTACATACTAAACATATCAGAGGAAGAAAGGGAGCACAGAAACAAGAGACAAGACCAAAGCTTACAGGAAGTGAAATTATGTAAAGTGGAAGTGTGAGATTATGTAAAAAAGTCAAATCTCAGATTTATCAGGATTCCAGAAAGGGAAGAGGAACATTCACAGGGTTGGAAAACTTATATCACAGAATACTGGAGGAAAATATGCCAGGCATGGCCAGAAATCTTAATATTCAAATATAAGAAGTGCACAGAACTGCTGGGAGACTCAACATGAATAGGCAATCACCTCATCATGTGGTTATTAAGCCGACCAAAGTTAATGTGAAAGAAGCAATCCTCCGTGCAGCAAGGTGAAAGTAACAAATAACCTATAAAGGAAAGCCTATCAGACTAATGGCAGACTTCTCATCTGAAACCTTACAAGCCAGGAGGGAGTGGGTGCCTATCCTTAATCTTCTAAAACAGAATAAAGCCCAACCTAGAATTCTTTATCCAGCAAAATTGTTTCATCTATGAGGGAGAAATAAAGTCCTTCTCAGACATACAATCCCCGAAGGAATTTTCAAAGACCAGACTAGCCTTATTGGAAATTCTCAGACCTGCCTTCTACACTGAACAGGGCAAATATACTCCTCAAAGTAAAATCCTCAAAGAATTAAAGACTAGACCTTGAACTTCAGGATGGCTCAAGAAGTAAGACAAAGCAACAGGACTTCACCCAACAATATAAATGGAAATATTCCTCTAATTTCAATCCTATCAATAAATGTAAATGGTTTAAACTGTCCTCTGAAGAGGCATAGACTGGCAGAATGGATAAAATTCCACAAGCCTAGTATCTGCTATCTACAGGAAACACATCTAACCCACAAAGATGCCTCCTGGCTGAAGGTCAAAGGATGGAAAACTATCATCCAGGCAAAAGAAAACAAGGGTAGATATACTATGGAAGTCAAACAAAAACAGGAGTAGATATACTATTCGCAGACAACATAGGTTTTAAAATACCAAAAGTAAAAAATGATAAAGATGGCCACTTTATAATGGTGAAAGGGAAGATCCAACAAGAAGATTTAACAATTCTTAATATTTATGCACTCAATGCAGGATCACCCAACTACATAAAGCAAACCTTGTCTGAGCTAAATACCACGTTAAACAATACTGCCATAGTATCAGAGGACTTCAATATGCCACTGAATGAACTGGGTAGATCCTCCAGACAGAAATTAAGTAAAGAAATAAGGGATTTAAATAAAGCTCTTGACCAAAAAGCCCTGACAGATCTCTATAGAATATTCCACCCAAATAAAGTTGAATTTACATTCTTCTCGGTAGCCCATGGATACTTCTCCCAAATTGATCACATGCTAGGCCACAAAGCAGATCTCAAAAAATTCAAGGAAATAAAAATAATACCATGTGTCTTCTCTGACCACAGTGGTATAAAATTAGAGTTCAATTCTAACAGAAATACGCACCACTTCACAAAGTCATGGAAACCAGACAACCTACTCTTGAATAACTATTGGGTGAAGGAGGAAATTCAGAGGAAAATCAAGAGTTTTTCCAAACAAAATGATAATGGAGCCACATGTTACTAAAACCTGTGGGATACAGCAAAAGCATATCTGAGAGGAAAACTAATAACAATAAATGCTCACATTCAAAAAACAGAAAGATTAGATACTGACAATCTAATGAATAGACTCAAGGAATTGGCAAAAGAAGAGCAAACCAATTCCAATCCTAGCAGAAGAAAATAAATAACTAAGATACATATATATTATATATAGTATATTATATTATATATAATATATATGTTACATATATATATTATAAGTGCATTATGCATTGTTGGGAGCATGGACATACTTAAAGCTCTGAGTCAATGGGGGAGGGAAGGCAATAGCAATGTATGTTACCTTAACATTTGTACCCCCATATTATGCTGAAATTAAATAAATAAATAAATAAATAAATAAAATAAATAAATAAAAATATTTAAAAAAAAGAAAAAGAAAAGAATAAAGAGCCTGAGGAAAAAAAAATTAAAAGAGAATTAGGTAACTTGTCTCAGAGAAGGATCTCTGGAGGATGAATATTTTTCCTTGCTGAAACATAATAAAGAGACGAATCTTACCGAAGAAATATATTCTTGTCAATAGGGTCCTGTCTTGCTTGGGAAGAGGCACAGATTCACAATCTAACTAGAACTGTTCCAAGGTTCAACCACTCTTCTTTTTAAAATCCGCTACCCCAATGCCAAAGCCTCAGGGAACTGGTGTACTTGATTTTTCAGAAGAAAAACAGAAATTACAACCAAGAATCAATTTCAGAATAAAAATTACAAGTAGCTATTTATGTTGTTGTTGTTGATTAATTATCAGTGGGAAAAGTTTCTAGTTGGTGATTCTTGGTTGCAATTTTTCTGTTTTTCCAATTCACTTCCATTTTTTCAGCTTAAATGAGAAAACTTCTGAAAACGTTGGGGTTTTCTGGAATTAAAAAGCCATCTTTCTCATCTTTCCAATTCTGTGGTCTCTCTGATTTTTCTTGGCATTTCCAGAGACCTTTTATTAATTTATTATGTAAAGGAGGTAAGTTTTCCAAGTCTGACTTCACATTTAAACACTAAAATGCATGAAACACAGACACTATACCATTTAATAAATTAAGCTACCCTTTCTCTAGGGCCTCTATAATGCATACCTATGATCAACAGAAGTGTGTAGAAAAGTCAACTTTTACAAAAGTAGTATTATCCTTGCAGTCTTAATGCTTAATAGTGGAAGAAGTAGCCTACAGTGCTTTACTGTGGGATTGTCCATTTAACCCCTTCCCATTTTGTTTACTGTTTCTCCTCTTCTCTATCCTGCAGAAGGAATAGCCAAGTTAATGCTTAATCCTTGCATTAACTGGATATTGGGTGATAGTCTGGATCTTAGCATTTCACCTAAGATGAATCAGTAAGTCCTTACCCTGGGATTTTGTAACCACAACTTAGAATTTGATCATAACTTGTATTCCAAGTGTTGATTTCTTCCCCAACTTATCGTTATCTGTCCTGAGTCTATGGGTACAAGAAGAAGGATTTTATACTGTCTCTTCCTGTATTGTCCACACAGTCATTACATCACAGTGGTCCACCCTGATATTCTTAGTTCCCCATGAGAACACTTCACTGGGGTCACCTCATGTATAGTCACCTCAACAGTTCACCAGTCTCTCTGCACTGGTACCAACAAAAGAGTTACTCTGCTCCAGGATACATTTCCTGCACTTCCCATCCTTTAAACCCTAACTGTATTGTTACATACAGATTGAACAGATACATTGTTCTTTACAGAGAGATTGGGGTAACTAAAGGAGGAAATTAAATAATGTGTCATCTACCATTGTGTTTTGTAACTTCATATGGAGAACATGTCCAGATTACAAAATGTACAAAGGTGAACATCTGAAAGTATGACTAATCTAATTATGCTACAGATGGTATTGGGGAGGAGTCAAACATGTATTCTGTTAAATTAAATGTTCTCAAATATGTCTTGTATAATTGCACATTGTAACTACTAAGGTACCTCTGACTCACACACAAGAGGGAACAGATAGTGGCAAAAGAAGATGACAAGTGACTCCTCAGAATTGCAGAAAACACTATGGGCAGGTCACTCCACACAGCTGATGAAATATATGTTTGCTGGCCTATGAACCGGTGTGAAACTGAGGAATATGAGGGTATTTACTCTGTATCCTGAACCCATTCTGGTGCCACATGTCACATTGTCTTGTTTCCTCTCTAGACAGGTATTATTGTCTTGTTTCCTCTCTAGACAGGTATTTTTGAAGCTAAGTAGCTTGTCTATGGTGATATATTTGTTGACTGTCATTTGTTGTGTATGTCATCTAAAAAAAGAAGCAACCACAATGTTTAAAATTTATAGGATAGACTCTCATGATAGTCCCTTGTTCTTTACATCCCTCTCTTTAAGTCTATTCCTCTTTACGATAGTTCATATACCTTTTAGGATACTGTGCTCTTACTGATAGGAAACTGCTTTGCTTTAGGATGCATTTGACTTCTCTCTGCGGTGTGTTTTCACAGTTCTGAGTTATTCAGCCTGAAATAACAACACAGGGGTTCTAAACGTCTCTACACAAGTGGTCATCACAGAACTTATCTCATTCTTCCAATTTTCAGCAGAGAGTGGTAGAAAACCACACACACACACACACACACACACACACACACACACACTCACACATGTATCTCCAAAGTATAAATATCAAATTTTACAAAACAGCATAATCTCAACACTTAAGAAGAAAGAGAAATAGTTTTCTTACCAGCTACAGGCTTTGCAAGGCCAGTAATCTCACAATGAAATATTTAATATTATCATTTTATAGATCAGTGCTAATTCCTTTCCTACACCCCCAATTTACACTTTCAGTTTTACCCTATTGTATATGTTGGGACTGAAAAATAAACTCATTGTCAAACATGTATCTCCCACTGGTTGTTCCTTTTGCTGTACAAAGCCCCAGTAGAAGTTTTGAAATTTATTCTTGTGAGGTCTAAAATAAATTGTTGGCTAAGAGGTAGTCTACTCAGATTGTCTGTTTTCCTTTGAAGGAAGGAGAACATATTAATAGTTTCTTTCTTCCAATTACAAAGTTACATTTAGGTGTTAGTGAGTGACTATGTTTTCCATCATGGACATAAGGAAAATAGCCCAAAGGACATTATAGAGCCTGGTCCTGGAAGTTCTCAAAAACCAACTGAATTCCTGTCCTTCTTATGACTGAATTGTTTTGTTCCTTTGATTTTACCAGTATCATAGTATCTCACCAATCAATTTCCTTACTAAGCAAATTTTCTGTAACTTACAAGCAAAAGAAACCTCATGGGTAAACAAAACTTACCAAATAAATGCCTTCTTGCTTCATACCAGTTGGTCTTGTTTGAGAAAAGGCAGACATTTAATCCAACCTTATTATTAAGATGTTGTAGCATGCTAGCTCAAAATATTAATATGGTTTCCTGTGTATTTTTCTTCCACATTACACTTACTATTATCCAAGAGCTGGTTTTACTCCTCCCGCCCACAAGAAAGCAGATGCATAGTTAAATCCAAGAGGAAGATTCTGAGATCTAGGCTTGCACAGCTAGCTTCCCCATCTCATAGGCTAGAGGAATTGGGAGAGGGTAGGCCAAAACACAGAGAGTATCTCCAAGATAGAAAAAAGAGAGATGGGAGAGAAAAAAACAGTAGTCTTTGAGCAAGAAAGAAAAAAGGAACACCATTTGTTTCCAACACCAGTAAACAGAATACAAGGGACAGCAGTGACCAAATGGACCCAAGAGTTGGCAGCACCCCATGTCATCTACCTAAGGACAACCCATGGTTCAGAAGTTCTGGAAACTTCCTAGCCCCTAAACAGGAAGGGCATTTGGACACCTTGTATGGATAGAGAGGCACGAAGGAGAGCATCTCACCCCTGAGCAATGGGGAACAGACAGGACCAGTTGGACATATCTCTATGAGTAGGACATCAACAGACATACAGCTCCTATTATAAAGGACAAGCAGCATCCAGTCCAAAAAAGAAGAACCCAAGATTTCAACTACTTCTGTGTGATATTAAAATCTTACAGAAGATGGACCTTAGAGTTCACCCCTGAAAAGCTATAATTTCTCAGAAGAAGAGATGGAAACAAATAGGAGCTGTTTTCAAAACAGAAAGCTGTTAAATGATAGTTGGTTTCTATTTTGGATGCCTCTGCTTTCCAGTTAGTATTCACCACCCACCGTTCTACAACAAGTAACTATAATATCAGTTATCCCAGAACTAACAGTTGTCTGCTACTTCCTTCCCTCATCCTGCCTTTCTTAGGGTTTCCAAAGTACTCCATTTGTCATGTTGAAATGATTAACATAAACATAGAGTTTTGTGAGAGTACTCCAAGCCTGGCTTCACATTCACACCCCAAGGGCAATGAAACCACATGGAATCTCTCTGTTTGATAAACACAAATTTGCACTTATCTATGACTTATGTGTTAAGTATACATATACACAGTAAACAGGAGATATGACAGCAAAGGTCAACCCTACTGATACTACGGAAAGGTCTGTGTTTCAGCATCTTAATTAGTGGTGAATTCCTTGGAGCTCTAGATTTTATACTGGATAACCCCTCCTGCTTTTCCAAAGAAGATATCTGAACTCCTTTGTTTACCTCTCTTTCTTGCCAGTGATTTTTCTCTACCATCTTTCCTCTTAACTTAGATCCCTGGAGCCCAGTATCCCAGATGAGCAGCCTAAAGACCATGTTTACTCTCTGTTCCCAGTTATTTGGGGTAATGTCCAGAGGGGTATACAGAACAGCTTAATTGAGCCAATTCTAGATATGGCAGCATGTGACATTATTCTCTTGTGGTTAACAGGAGCATGTGGGAAAACACACTGCTCTCTGAGCTAGGAGACATAAGTTCTCTTCCTGAACCTGCTGCTAAGCAATTGTGTGGCCTCTAGAAAAGGGCGAAATATCCCTAGGCTTCATGGAATCATATATAATACATTTTGAGCTAGACTAACCATCAACTTTTGTAATTGACACCCAGAATTCTAAAGTGATTTTCTTCAAATCTTGCCATTCTCAAAGAGAGAATGAATTTGTTTCAAAACACTTAAAGACTTGGAGGTGAGAAAGGATATAATTCATTTGAAAAAAAAAATTTGTTTTTCTGGAAATAGGCCACTACCTGAATTTATATTTTGTATGAAGGTCAATTCCCCTACGTATAAAACTAGGATGAATATATTGCTGCTTGTGGTAACAGACTTAGGGAATCTAACTCCTTGATGGTTTTAAATTTAGATAGAATATTAACATTCAAGTAAAATGCCCTGAAGACAATAAGAAGGTTTTGAATTTCCATAAGAAAACTGAACCACCAATGTACACATCACTGATTCAATAGTTATAATAAAATGGGGAAATGAACCATCAAAGAGAAGAGGAAATCAAGAATCACAGTCTAAAGTGATACTGGATTTTGACAGGCAGAAGCAGAAACTATCAAGAAATTAGAAATAATGATCACAGAAGTTATAGAAAAACTAGGCCAGAGTTCATAAAACCAAGGAGAGAGATAGAATCTATATTTGTTGAGCCTTTACCATGTGTCAAGTATTATGCTCTGTACTTTTTCATGTTTTCTTATATAATATTCAAAGCAAGCTAGAAGTACATATTGTTAACTTATTTTACAAATGAGAGGCAAATAGTTCAGAGATAAAGTGATTTGTCTAAGGCCAAGGATAATATATGGTAAAGCCAGTATTCAAATTCAGATTAGTCTGTTGGACTCAAAAACCTGTGTGGTTTTTTCCACTTTGTGTAAACACCCAGTAGTAGGATTGTTGGATTGAAAGATAGGTCTACTTTTAGTTCTTTGTTTTCCATAGAGGTTGTACTAATTTGCAGTCCCACCAATGGTGTATAAGCATTCCTTTCTCTCTGCATCCACACCAGCATCTATTATTTTTGGACTTTTTAATAATAGCCATTTTGACAGGGGTAAGATGATATCTCATTTTGGTTTTAATTTGCATTTTCCTGATGATTAGTGACATTGAGCAATTTTTCATATGTTTCTTGGCCATTTGTCTGTTGTATTTTGTCAAGCTTCTGTTCATGTCTTCTGTCTACTTTTTAATGTTTGTTTGTGTCTTGCTGATTTGCTTGAGTTCTTCGTAGATTCTGGATATTAGCCTTTATTGTGTGGATAGCTTGCAAATATGTTCTCCCATTCTGTAGGGAGTCTATTTTATCTGTTGTCCATTTTATCTGTTGATTATTTCCTTAGCTGTGCAGAAGCTTTTTAATTTAATCAAGGCCCATTTATTTATTTATCAAAAAGACACCTGCACTTGAATGTTTATTGCAGCAAAATTCACAATTGCAAAGATGTGAATCAATTCAAGTGCCTATCAATTCATGAGTAGATTAACAAAATGTGGTATATGTATAGCATGGAATACTACTCAGCCATACAAAAGGAGGAATTAATGCCTTTTGCAAAAAATTGGATAGAACTGGAGATGGTTATCCTAAGCAAAGTACCTAAAGGATGGAAAAACAAACACCGCATGTACTTGCTATTAAACTGGAACTAACTGATGAGCACCCATGTACACAGAGGAAAGAAAAACTCAGTGGAAATCAAGCAGGAAGGATGGGGGAGGAGAAGATGGGCAAAAAATTGCCTACCAGGTACAATGAACACTATTTGGGTGATGGGAGCACTTATAACCCTGAATCAAGTATTACAAAAGTGATCCATGTAACCAAAAACATTTGTACTCCTGTAATATTTTGAAATTTAAAAAGCCTGTAGTTTTTCACTATAATTCTCTCTCTTCCACTGTCTTGTGTTTAAAGGCAGGAGGATCATAACTGGTAGAAACAAAGAAAAGACTGGTTTCATTTTTTTGACTCTTTGTTGATATCCTAGGAATAGGATATCTTTCTTCTTTAAAATGCGTCTATATATTTATTCTTTCTTTCTTCTTTTTCACTTCTATTCCCCATCTTCCTAAAACTTACCTGCATTTCTATATTATTCCTTCATGCTCTCTAAAAGTTATTCTTTCTTCTTCCTTCTTCTTTATTCATTCAAGATTTAGCAGCTGGGACTTCATTCTGAGTGGGGAGGTATTAAAAGGGTCTAGGCAAAGAAGATCCTATAATCATATTGACAGTTTAGTAAAACTATTCTGAATACAATAATCTCAACAGTGGCTGCAAGTGGAACATTAGATAGAGGCGCATTTCTCTTGAGAGCCATGATGAATGCAATTAAACTCTGAATGCTTGGGTTTCGTGTTCATGCAACATCAGTTCTCTTCCTGGACACTCGAGAGTCAGAACTGTCCATGGATACATAGTCTGTTTACTTTGGTCACTGCTAAGTAAGTCCTCTGACTGCTATATCCTTGCTACTTTTCTATTTATGTGAATTTTCTTCCATGATCCAAACTCCCACTCTTGCTCTCACTACCCAATCCTTTGGGAATTCCCATTTCGAGATTATTAACCTCATATATCTTCATAGTCTGCACTTCATATTTTCCTCAATGCTTGCCATTTAGTGAAATTTAGTTCTCCCCTGGGTGAATGCCTTCCTTGAATTTAATAGTTTTGCTGTGTTTCAAGTACATTAAGACCCCAAGATAGCATCCTCCTTGTTTTTTACAGCTGCTTCTAGACAATTATTCTTCTCATCTCTCGTTAAACCTCACCTTCTACCCTTTCTCAGTCATTCTCACTTCCCTGTATTTATTGAAGCCTTTGGCCTTTTCTCACCCCCAAATGCTTTCATCACCCTGAGAGATGCATAACTGTTCTATCTTCAATCTCTCCTCTTTAGGTTTTATCACCTCCTTATCCCTGGGGAATTTCTTGTTAGCTCTATTTCAGGTACTCATTTCCATGACCACATCCTGGGCCTTGCTATAAAATGCAGTGACTTTGTCACCAAAATAATAAGTGCAGCCCCTTTAAAATTGCATTTCCTATCCTGCCGGCTTGTTTTGTTTATTACATCCAATCCAACAGGTCTTGCCCCTGATTATCAAGATCTTCAGTCCATGAATTCCTCTAATTTTACCTATCAATCAAATATTTTTCTATTTCTTCACTATCCTTCTTAAATTGAGAGAATTATATTGACCAGATATAAGGAAAATATGTAAATCTAAAATGAAATTTACTTCACTGGGGGATTACAAGCAATTTGATAATAACTTCAATTTCTCCCCACGAAATGTTCAAACCCATTGGTTCTAAACTATTTATTGCTTTCCATCCTTTGCAAGGCAAGAATTGTGCTCTGAATCATATCCTTTCTTATCTTTGCAATGAATCAATGCCTATAATTATCCTTTTTTA